GGCAAGGAGCAAGTCTTACCATCTTTCTGCCTGTTACCATGTATGTGTTAGATGCCTGTCATTAATCTTGAGGGGATTGTGTCAGTATTGATTGGTCTATTACTCGAAACCATTTATAGCAAAACACTAAGTGTGCTCATTTAGCTCTAACAGTGTGCACACAGGAGAATGTAATCCAGATATTAATGTTTGGTACCTGCATCTATGGGTAGCTTCTGAATAAAGAGATGAGACAGGAAATTTTACTTCCTCTGGTCACAGTTTCTCATTTGTTCTCACTTACAATATGTCCTGGTTTGCTTGACACAGTCTCAGTTTTTGCAGTTCTGATAGAATTACTAATAGTGTCCCTTTTCATTCACAGAATTATCCCAGTGGGTGGTAAATTAAATGGTAGGCCTACTTATATGACATTTAATGTGTGCCAGGCTCTCTTCTGAACTCTCTGTACATTCTCACTTAATCTTCATGAAAATCCTAAGTAGCAGATCCTGTTTTACACATAGGGAAGTCAGGGCACAAAGAGGTTAAATAACTTGGCCGAGATTGCAGTTAGGTTTGAGTAGTGACTGGTGGAACCAGGAGTTGAGTGCAGGCGGTTTCTTGTCGATGCGCTTAAGCACTCTGCTCTGTGGTCTCTATGCGGGCCCCAAACATACCTGTCTTTGTAGAATACACGCTGACCCACTGGAGTCTCCTGATAATTAATCCGCATAGTTTTAGGTCAGCATCTGGCTAAGGCTTTGGGAATTTGAGGGGTTTCCTTTTCTTCGCAAAAAACTTGTCGGTTCCTCACATACCACAACACCAATCTGATGATATTCAGACTTCTTTCTCAGAAGATTGAACATTTGCCTTTTTCATTCTCTTAGTGACAGCTACTTGGCATTCCTTCCTTCCTGGATTTCAGTTACGAACATTCCCAGCTTTTGCAGATTCTCAAGTCCCTGCCACAGTCACTTTCGGCCATCTTTGGTATAAATAAATTCATGGACACACGCACACACGCACAGTGTCTCCAGCACCTGGAACAATGCCTGTCATATGTCAGGAACAGAAACTTTTTCACTGCCTTTGATCAGTTCGTATTTTGGAATTATCTGGGGACAGTATTCACAGGCGCTTTACAGAAAGTTTTTTCAGACAGCTACTGCTTTCAGGTCGCTTACAGTTTAGTAAGGAGATGATGGATGTACTGGAAGAACTGTGATATAAGACAGCTGAGCTGTGTGAGTCAAGTACTTGGCTACAGAATAACTACCCCAATAACTACCCCTTGTTTTTAAGGACAGGCCTTGAGTTTGCCAAGAGTAGAGTCCTGACAGAAGAATAATTGTCAACCCAGACGAGAGGAGGACTCTGGCAACTTGACACGGGTCCTCTTGTAAGAAATCCTCCATCAGCAGTACTGTCTGTCTTTATATGTACGTCCTTACCACGGCACATTCTGACCTCTCGGTAGTGATAAGCAGCAGGAACAGCTGGAACTACTCAGCAGCAGAGAATTTTATTTTTTAACTAGAGGCCTGGTCCACAAATTCATGCACAGGTGGGGTCCCTCTGGGTAGCCTGCAGGGATCGGGCTGAAACCCGTAGTCCAACGCCGCCTGCAGCTCCTACCTCCCGCTCCCGCTCATCCCAGCCCCACTGTGCCTGCTGTGGGCTCGTACCCAATAAGTCCCTGATCGGGAGAGGCTCGTGCTGCCACAGCAGCACTCGCCAGCCATGAGTCCTGCGTCTGGCACCCTCCCAAGGGGGAGTGGCCTGCAGGATCGGGCTGAAACTGGCTCTCCGACATCCCCTGAGGGGTCCCGGATTGCAAGAGGGCACAGGCCAGGCTGAGGGACCCCACCAGTGCACGATCGGGCAGGGGAGGAATCGTGGGAGGGCTCCAGGGTGTGTCTGGCCCATCGCTAACCTATCAGTTGGAGCATCTGCCCCCTGGTGGTCAGTGCATGTCATAGTGAGCAGCATTAGCATATCATTAGCATATTATGCTTTGATTGGTTGTTCTGCTGTTCAGTCTATTTGCATATTACCCTTTTATTATATAGGATAGGATGTGGAAGCCTGGTGTTATTTATTTGATTTTTTCAATGCTTTTTAGTTTAAAGTCTATGGTCTTTTTTCTTTTCTTTTTTTTAAATAATTTTATTTCTTAAAGTATTAAAAAGAGTATTACATATGTCTCCTTTTCCCCCCCCCCTTGACATTCCCCCGGCCCTTACCCCCCCCCCCACCCCCCATGTCTTGTGTCCATTGGTTAATCTTATGGGTCTTTTTTCTTAATAAAAATATTGTCTATGTTTATTATAATATAATTGCATTTTGCTTTTTTACTTTCTTACTGGATATCTTAATAAGATGATATGGTTACATTGGAACACAATTGATCACAATAGCCTAGTGCAGTGGTTGGCAAACTGCGGCTCGCGAGCCACATGCGGCTCTTTGGCCCCTTGAGTGTGGCTCTTCCACAAAATACCGACTTCTGTGCATGGGCCACGAAGTTTCAATCGCATTGTACGTGCACGCCCGCACGTGGTATTTTGTGGTATTTTGTGGAAGAGCCACACTCAAGGGGCCAAAGAGCCTCATGTGGCTCGCGAGCTACAGTTTGCCGACCACGGGACTAGTGAGAGAGGGCAGCATTCATTATCCTCACTTTACAAATGAGGAAGCTAAGTTCAGTTAAACCATCAGCTGTGTGACTTTGGGGGAAAACAGCACAATTGGGACTTGTACCTGGGTTTTAGAATCTAGATTCAGTGTATGTCACATGGCCTTATTTTAACTTATTAGATTGATTTCTTTTTATCGATATCAAGATAAGGACAATGAAAGTTGGGATTATATCACATCATAAGTCCTTTTTAATGAATGTCATTATAGAACCTAGTTCAACTTAATTAGTCCATTTCCATTTCTGAGTTGACAGGCTTATTAACACCATTTTGATGATTGTAGAGCCAATAAATTCTATTGGAGGGGAAGTCCTGTAGGGGCCACAGGTGGCCTATACGGTACCTATGTGCAAATCAGAGAAAGACAGTCCCTCTAGGTCAGCGGTTCCCAGCCCATGGGTCGAGATCCCTTTGGGGGTCGAACAACCCTTTCACAGGGGTTGCCTAAGACCATCGGAAAACACATATATGATTACATATTGTTTTTGTGATTAATCACTATGCTTTAATGATGTTCAATTTGTAACAATGAAAATACATCCTGCATATCAGATATTTACATTACAATTCATAACAGTAGCAAAATTACAGTTATGAATTAGCAACAAAAATAATTTTATGGTTGGAGGTCACCACAACATGAGGAACTGTATTGAAGGGTTGCGGCATTAGGAAGGTTGAGAACCACTGCTCTAGGTGGACTGTCAGTCAGAAAAAGGCATACCTGCTAGGGGCAGGTTGAGCCCGCACCAGGATGCTGGACGTGGGAAATGCGCATCTGGGTTTGTCTACTCTGTCTCCTTTTTGTGGTACTTGAAAAGCAGGATCATGAACCTTATTCATATTAATTTATTTAGAAAGAGCTGGTGGGGTTTTTTTAAGTGTTTTATTTATAGATAAAACCTTTTGTATATACCTGCCTCAGCACCTTGTACGTGTTCCCTGCACCTGGAACCTGAACTTCCTTCTTCTCTACTTTGCTCACTCCTTCACTTCACCCAGGTCTCCGCTCATATGTCACCTTCTCAGTATCACCTCACCTATCCTAACTAAAACATTACCCCCAATCACACTCTCTCCCTTTCTGCTGTATTTTCCACATACTACATCTTACCACCTGGATATTATATTTTTAAATTTTTGTCTCTCCACTAGAAAATACACTCTGTGTATTGCCTGTTTTCTTCACTGTTGTATCCCAACACCCAGAATTACCCGTTTTAATATTTGTTGCCTTTTATTAACAATGTGCCCTTTCTGGACTATAATGTTATGAATATGATCTAATTGAATCTTATTAATACCTGTATGAAGGGTAAATATTATAATTCCCATTCTGGAATTGAGGAAATCCAAAAGCTTAGAAAAGTTCAATAACACTCCCAAAGTCAAATATCTAATAATTAGAATCATTCTTTGACAAGTAGATCTGATCTGATAGCCAAAGTTCATTTTTAAAAATTGACTTTAGTGAATCTTTTGGGTTTTGTAATGTTTTTCAAAGAGTGATTTCTAATTACTGGAGAGGGCGGCTTAAATACTATTATCTCGATTTAAGGGAAAAGAGAGGCAGAACCCATGAGATTTAAAGCATTGGGATGAGAGATCAGACAACCCTGTTGTGGGATTGTAAGCTGGTGTGGCTACTATGGAAAATAGTATGGAGATTCCTCAAAAAATTAAAATTGTACACTTGAAACTAATATAATATTGTCTGTCAACTGTAATTTAAAAATAAAAAAGAATAAGTTAAAAACACTACTATGTGACCCAGTAATCCCACTTCTGGGTATTTATCCAAAGAAATCAAAAGACTAATTCAAAAAGATATATGCACCCCTATGTCCATTGCAGCATTATTTACAACAGACAAAATATGGAAGCCACCTAGGTGTCCCTCAATAGACAAATGGATAAAGAAGACATGATACCTATGTTTTCCATTTGTAGGATTATTTTCCTGAATGGATTTGTAGAATGGAACAAATAGATAACTAGGTTAAAAAGATAAACATTTTTTCATTCTGAACCATGTAAAGGAGTGCCTGGAATGTAATAGTCCTTCAAACAATATTTATTGGATGAAAGAATATTCTAAAACTCTCTTTCCAATATGGATGTAACAATTTTCAGTCCCACCGATAATACAAGATTATCTGGTCTCCCACACCATCGTACATTTAAATTATCTGATGGCTTGCATGTAATCAGAAGAATTCTCCATCTTGAAAAAAAGTGTTATCAGATGGTATAGCTAAGGTCTGTTTCTCTTTTTATTTTCACCTTCTTGGTTAATGGACATGTGTTTTCTTGCAGGACTGAATTTGCTCTTAAAGAAATCATGTCCTCTGGAGGTGCTGAAGATGACATCCCACAGGGAGAGAGGAAAACAGTCACTGATTTTTGTTATCTTCTGGATAAATCTAAGCAACTGTTCAATGGGTTAAGGTTAGTGGACTGCTGATACCTTAAATTCTTCTCTAGTTCTGTGTATTTCCCCCCATGGCTGAAGTATGGTACCTTTCTGAAAGTTATGGATAGAATGTTGCATCAATACCTGTACTAGAAGTGATCATGCTTTTTTTCTTTGACACTGTTTCTTCATTCTCAGATGAAAAAACAATAGGAAAAGAGGGTAACTTAGTGTTGTACTTGAGTTAAGGAGCACTCTTGTTCCATGCTTTTATATACATTAGTCCACATTATACCCGATTTACATCTGATCTTACACATTGGGGTATGGAGGACTAAGGAGCCTACCAATGCATAATGCAGGTGAATGGGGCCTCTCTCCTGTTGCAGTCTTTGTACACTTGTTTATTTGCTTGTTTCTTTTATTCTTTCTTTTTCTTTGGATAAAATATCTGTTGACTACAGTAATGACTGAGTGTTTTAGACAGTGTTATTTTTAGTTTAGCTGTGCATGCCCTGAACAGATTGGCAGCAGAAGCTATATGCACTTTTGTCCACATGTCTTTGTTGATGTGTTCCTGTGTGTAGTGGGTAAATAATTTTGTACTGTTTTGTTCTATTTAAATCTCTCAGCCCTGCTTTTTCTTTTCTCCCTCCAATTTATAGAGCTATATTTCATACAATAAAAATTGACCCATTCAGAGTTTACAATTATATGGTTTAGTATACTTAGAGTTGTGCCACTATCACCATAATCTAATTTTAGAACAGTAATCACCCCAAAAGAAACCCCATACCCATTAGCAGTGACTCTCCATTGTCCCCAGTTCCTAACCCCCTAATCAATTTTCTGTTTCTATGGATTTACATATTTTAGACATTTCATATAAGTAGGATCATAAAATATGTGGTCTTTTGTGATTGGCTTCTTTCACAAAGTAGTGTTTTTTGAGGTTCATCTATGTAGTAACATGTATCAGTACGTCATTCCTCTTAATTACAGATTAATATTCCATTGTACAGATTTACCATATTTTGTTTATCCAGTCATTTGTTGATGAATGTTTGAATTATTTTCCCTTTTTGGCTGCTATGAATAATACTACTGTGAACATTTGTGTACACAGTTTTGTGTGGACATATATTTTTAGTTCTCATGAGTATATATACCTAGGGGAAAAATTGCTGGGTTATATGGTACTCTATATTTAACATTTGAAGAACTTCTAGACTGTTTTTCAAAGAGACTACATCACCAGCAGTGAATGAGGGTTCCATTTTCTTCACATCTTCACCAACAATTGTTATGATAACCATCGAAGGGGGTGTGAAGTGGTATCTTGTGGGTTTTATTAAATTTTATTAAAATTTTTAGGGTGACATTGGTTAATAGGGTCATATAGGTTTCAAGTGTCAATTTCTATGATACATGATCTGTATATTGCACTGTGTGACCACTACCCAGAGTCAAACCATCTTCCATCACCATATATTTGGTCCCCTTACCCTTTATTACCCCCCCGCCCGCCCTTCCCTCTGATAATCACCATACTGTTGTCTGCCTGTGTCTATGAATTTCAGTTTTATGTCCACACATGAGTTTTGATTTGCATTTCCCTAATGACTAGTGATGTTGAGCATCTTCTCATGTCTCAAATGTGTCTACCACATGCCTGACGTGTTTCATCTTGCCATTTTATATCAGTGCTTTTTGCAGTACTGCTTTTTTAAAAACTAGGTATTATGTGAAGGGCCCTCTTCAGTTTAAACAAGCTTAATTATTTCTACAAAAATACCTATCTGTGGTGAGTAAGTATATATATCCTCTGATTGTTTTGGGGTTTTTGTTTGGCCAGTAGCAGTACAGGTCTGTAATTTACTGAGAGATTAGTACTTTGGCTTTCTTTTTATTTTCACTTCTAAAGAAAATTCATTTTATATATACTCATGGTATATATCAAACTATTGAAAAAGATTTTGGTGAAGATATAAATGAAAAGTTGCCTATGATATGTAGTTAAACGTAAAAACAATATATTTTTTTTTAATCAAAAATTCTGTATTAAATACTAGTAAATGTGGTGAGTCCTGTTTGCTCTTAATGCCCATTTGGTCTCTTCCTTCTGGGGGGTGCTGATTTTCTCAGTGTCTGGTGCACTTGAGTTGTGTATTTTCTGTGCTTGTTTATAGAAACGTTTATAAGTGTTTTGTTCAGTATTAGTCCTTGATTGGAAAGCAATGGGAAAGGCCTCTGTTTATGAGTTCCACAGGTCTGTGACCGAGTTCCCCATGATGGGGGTTGGAGGCGCGGGTGGCATGCTCCACACTGCTCTCCAATTCTGGTCCACAGCTCTTTGAGCATATAAATTAAACACCGTTCTACTTTCAAATATTGACTAGGTTTTGGGCATTTCTTTTGAAATAGAGAAGATTTCTTTGGGAATAATTAAAAGAAGGGTGTGGGTTTTTTTGTTTTGTTTTTTTACATTTGTGTTGGTCTGAATAGGAATCAGGATCACAGTGCTTATAGAGAACAAGAAATACATTGGCAGTGGTTCTGGACCAGCGTTTGCACTTGGGGAAATGGGGTGAAGTGGGAATCCAGCTGGGATAGCGTCAGCTTTTAACATTGGCCCTCTTTCCCGGCATTCCTTGCATTGTTTGAGCTTATCTTTTGGCTTGCTTTCCTATTTGTTTTCTCTTTCTTTCTTGAGTTCACAAACTGGTGATGAAACTTGTTATTGCATTGTAATGTACTTGTAGGAAAGTATACCTAAGGGTATTTTTTTTCAGACTGAATACATCCATGTGGCTGGTAATTGGATAAAGAAATAGAACATACAGCACCGTGGCAACCCCTCATGTTCCCTCTCTCCTAGACTTTTTAACTCTTTATGTACAGAATGAGAAAGTGTATTTCAGTGCACGAAAGGCCTGAGAGTTTCTATATAATGTCTTATGGGTATAATAAATTCTCTTTTTACTCTCAAAGAAACGTATTTTTACCTTACATTAAGCCATTCATCCAAGTTGTCAGAGACTTTTCAATTTCCCAGCTGTGACTGTCTTAATGGAGCTTTTTTTTCTTCCTGAAAATACCTTCTGATAATATGTGCATGATAAATAAACTTCTTTCCACTTACTGTGTAAGGAATCATAGTCCAGAGAGTGAGAAATGGGTAGAATGAATGGTGTTGTGCTTAAAATAGCTGTTGCATGTAGTTACAGTAGTAATGAAGTGTTAGAAATAGCTTTGAATACTGTCAGGAAAATGATCAAAGCCCAAGTGCTTGCAGGGTTCTGGTTGCCATGGTGACGGAGCAGCATGGAATACTTGGTGGGATTATATAAGGCAGCATCTTGAGACATATTTGAGATACACAGCTGTGTCTACCACTGATACCCCTGACTTTGGTGCTTTGAAACAGCAGAGGCCTCCAAGTCACTAATTATTTGATTCCAAAGGAGCAAATACACAAAGCCAAAATAAGCGTTGGAGCCCATGAGTGACGTACACCAACGTGAAGTGTAATGGTCTTAAATGGTCTTAAATAAAAATCATGGCAGAAATTATTTGTATTAAATATGCTCCCAATATTTTACGTTAAAGAAGAAATCATCTACAATGTTTCCTTTAAAAGCTTATTTTTCGGAAGCCCTGGCTCCTGAATAGGAAAGATAACAGAAATTACCAGTTTGCTCCATTGTCTCCCTCTCCTTCCTCTCTCTTTCCTCTTTTTCTTCCCCTCCCTCTACCTTCTCCTTCAAAACATTAATACTTTCCCAGAGGCAAGTTTCACAGGCTGGTAATAGTAAGGTATATGTTATTCAGAAATAATACCCTAAACTACTGTACAAGTTTGTACTGTGTGCTTTCATTTTATATGGCTTCCCACTCAAAAGAATTGCCCTTGACTTTGAGGCAGACTGTCACCAGAGTGATCTAGAGAGGAAGCATTGACTAATAAAATTTTAATGTGAGCCACAAATGGGACTTAAATTTTTCTAGCAGCCAGATTTTTTAAATGTAAAAAGAAAAAAGTAAAATTAATTTTAATATATTTTATTTGATCCATTATGTCAAAAATATTTTATTTCAATATGTAATCAATATAGGAAAATTGAGATCTTTTACATTCTTTTTTTTCATACTAAGTCTTTGAAGTACACCGAGTGTTTTATACTTACATACATTTCAGTTCAGATTAGCCACATTTCAAGCGCTCTGTAGCCACATGTGGCTATTGGCTCAGGCGAAGTCGCTCCCACTTTCAGCTTCTGTTCTCAGAATGGTCCAGTGTGCTGTGCAGTGGATTCAGATCAGCTACTTTGGGGTTCTCTTCTTCCCAGGACATCCATCAGATGTCCCATTTGTTTCTCCTGTCTCTTCCTGCACAGATGCCGATAGCCTGCAGGTCTTGGCTATTGCTGATTTATCCCCACCCACCTGTACTTTGGGATTTGAGGGTTATCTTATCACTTGGCTGTCATAACAAAATACCACAAACTGAGTGGCTTAAACAACAGAAATGTATTGTCTCTGTTCTGGAGGCCAGAAGTTCAAGATCAAGGTGTCAGCAGGGTTGGTTCTTGCTGAGGCCTCTCTCCTTGGCTGGTAGATGGCCATTTTCTTGCTGTGTTCTCATGTGGCAGTCCCTCTTTGCATGGGCACCCCTGGTGTCCCTCTGTGCGTCCGAATCTCCTTCTTATAAGAACACGAGTCTATTGTATTAGGGCCCACCCTCAAGGCCTCATGCTAACTTACCTCTTTACAGCCCGTCTCCAGGCACACGCATATTCTGAGGCACTGGGTAGGCATCAATGACTTTGGCTGGTTCAATTTAGTAAAGAGGGATGAATTGTAAAAACTTGGGAGAAAGTTCCTAAGTTTTGACATCTCAACATTACATTTAAAAATCTCTGAGAGCCAGGTTTAATCACCTGTACTACACTTCTTCCTGCCATAATTTCCCAACTTTTGTTGAGAGTTGAGAATTTTTAAAAAAGGAGATTATTGTCATACTTTCAGTTTCCTCTAAAGCCTTGGGAAAAGAATAAGAGCAGCCAATTTATGACACAGGTGCCTTGGCAAGATGTGAAATACAAGGTCATTTAGCGTACAGAATAATTCACAGAGCTGCATTTCATTTAATTCTATGGACCATTAATTTCCCATCTCTACTGACAGTAATAAAGACCAAATGATATATTCAGAGTTTAAAACCAGAGTCATTCTCGGAATAGTAGAGGAATTTGTCTAAAACTCTTCATAAAATACCTTAATTTAGACTCTAATCATATTACAGTGGTTTTCTATATTAGCTTTCATGATATGTCTCATTAGAAAAAGGGTGATCATAGGACTTATCCTTTTAGGAAGTTAAAAAAAAATTAAACCCTATTTCAAAAAAGAAATTGCTACCTTTATAGCAAGTCTTCAGACTGGAGTGGTAGATGTTCTAAATTCTATTGAGGAAAATAGTATAGAATTTAGCCAATAAATCATAAAATATTTGTATATTATGACTTACTGTCAGGAACCTTGTTCTAGCTTTTAGATCATTTTTTATGTACTTTTAGCTCTCATACAAAATTCCCTTCCCATAAAACTCAGTCATTAACTATCTGAAGTTCTGTAGTCTGAAAAAAACACTGAGTTCTGATTCTGTTTTCTCTCTTAATAAGATATAACTGAGGTTTATTAAATTTGTCAGTTTTAGAAACTTAAAGGAACTTGCAGGCAAATGCTTAACTTGAAAATTTGCCTAAAGACTTGACACGATATCTTTAAAGCACCCAGGGGTTGTCAGGTCTCATGAAGGTGATGTGGTTGCCTAATGCTTTTATATAATAGTACAGTCTTCCTGGCAGCAGCTAGTTGATAAGAGTCTTAAAGATTCTAGCAGCAACTTCCATTTTTAAATATCTGATTAGCTCTTCCTAATGCAGCTTCTTACTAGAGATCCCTGGAGACAGGAAAAAGAGGAAAACTTGCAATAAATGTGGAAACTAGTATCTATCGTTAACTGATTTCTGTAATCTGAAATGAGTTTTTACTTATCATAAGGATAATGGAATGCATTAAGAAATGCAATTACTAGCTTATTCTCCTTGTGTGTGCCGGAAATTTGGGAAAAC